GTTTGGGTCTATAAATAAGTTTGTTTTTAAGTTTGGGCCTTTAAATAAGTTTTATTTATGTTTGGGCCTATAAATAAGTGTAATTTAACTTCGGGTCTATAATTAAGTTCGATTTAAGTTTGGGCCGCTCTTCACTCACTTCTACACATCTCTTCACACTTCCTTATTTCTCTTCCCTTGCCTTCCAATTATTAGCCTTTTATATACACCACATCACTCCCCTCACCTCCTCTCAAGTCCCCTCTCATCAAAACACTCACCTTCTCCTACCGCAACTCCCTCCCCCACTCCTCAAACCCCACCCCCACGTATAAACTCTTACTCTTCTACCCCATGCACCANCCTGCTGCATTGTAGCGCTCGCCTGGCCCATACTAGCTCGCCTGCTGCATTGTAGCACTCGCCTGATGCATTAGTTCTGCCCATACTAGCGCCATTAATTATTACCTTATATGTATTCTTTTTAACTTTCGTAGGCAAAGAAATTCCCTAAGTTTGTGTAAGGTTGTATTAGGTGAAGTGAGGTGAGGTTAAGTTGGGTATTTGGTAAAATGTGGTGAGGCACGGTTTAATTAGGGCAAGTGTAATAAATTTTGTAAAGGTTAGGTTAGGTTAGCCAAGGTTAGGTTAGTACAGGTAGATTTCGGCAACCAGAGGTAAGATTAGGTGTGTTATTTAAGGGAAGGGATAAGTTGGGCATAGTATGGATTTTTAGGTAGATTTAGATTAGGTAACGTTAGGTATCCTATACTTAATTAATATATGATAATATCAGATTTTCCTCACTCGTGATTCTTACGTCAAGTGAACACTCTCTATGCAAGTGATCCACTCAATGTGACACGGCTGAAATTATAGCCAATATCTTCTTATTATCAAAATTATTATTATTTGCTCAGCAATTGGGACCAGTTTTTGTATATGTACGACGCCACCAGACGAATGACACACGCACGCCACACTAGAATTTAATTGGTACACGCGCTTTATAGAATTTGATTATCATTTAAACTAAAATGTGATTATCTTGTTATCCTGATGACATTGCGGTGTAGTGCGGCATATTTGAGTGGTCGAATTACAATAGTTTGAGATGCATTTATCATCGCATGACTAATACTATTCATTACTGAAATGAATCGTTGAGCATAAATAAAATGATTGTTTGCATATAACAATATCTAGTAGATAGATGACGGCAAGTTCAATCTATGCGAGTTTGTTACTTTGAATTTTCAACCTGCACCCTAAACCATCTACCGTAAACCATAAACCCTCGACCCTAAACCATCTACCCTGCACCTTAAACCCTCGACCCTAAACCATCTACCCTGCACCCTAAACCATCTACCCTGCACCCTAAATCATCCACCCTGCACCCTAAACCGCCTACTTTCGACCCTAAATTATTGATCATTCACCCTAAATCATCTACCCTACACTAAAATCCATCACATTTACAAAACCTCCTAATTTAATTCTATACTTGCGCTGCATGCAGAAAACTCTAGCGCGGGTCATTTAGGGTCCGCCCAGGACTCGGCCGAGTGCATTGCTGCGGCGCGTCAAAGTCCACGGAGGCGCGCGCCCTCCACCGCACGTGCCTGGCGCGCGCCGCGCACGTGCGCGTGCTTAATCCCATCACGCGGATTACGCGCCTAAATCCGCGCACGCGATGTCGAGATCACCGCATGATTAGCAACTGCGATTATTATGAGCGATTTATCGGCGTGTCAATTTTATAAGCATGATAAACTATGTATCAATTAGTATAGAAACAACAATTACTGTGAGAGAATTAATGTATCAATTATCACACCACGTATCACCACAGCTTCACCACTGAACGTATCAATTAGCACACCACGTATCACCACAGCTTCACCACTGAACGTATCAATTAGCGCACCACGACGCCATCACCTAATTAAGTTAAGTTCTTATATCAGCATAAATGTCAGTGGCTCATTCTTTAATTAATGCCAAATTAACGGTCTAATTAATGGCAATTAATATAATGCGGCGGCGGTCGAAGTCTGCCGTGGCAACTTAATTGTATCACATTTTAATCAGGCGATTAATCGATGCCATTTGTGGATTAATGAGCTGCGATGGAACGGCTTGGCGCTTCGTTAATCTCTCATTAACGCCTGATTAGCGGACGCTGATTAGGATATTACGATATAGAGACTTGCGATATTGGCTGTTGGTGGATTTCAATAAAACTTAAATAAAAAATAATTCTTCTATAATTTCTATTTTAATTTTTTGTATCGTTTTACGCAGAATTTATTACAAGATTTTTTAAAATTGATTTCGAAAAATATCGTGGTTTTCGCCGCGATATTTTGTCTGATGTTTAAATCAAACTTTTTCGTAATTAAAATCCTGAGAAGTAAAAAAGTATATGCATAATGTTAATAAAATCAAATTAAATTTTTATATTTTGTATATATTTTTAAAATGTATATACATTTTATTTATATATTAATATATATTACATTGGAACCCGGTTTATGAACTGCTTAATAAAAAAAATAATATTTTCTTTTCAGGCGGTGGGAAACTCTAGTGAAAAATAAAGGCAACAAATTTTTTAATTTTCAGTTTTTCTTCTCAATGAAAAATTCGCTTTTGTTTGTCGAATTTATATAGAATGTTCCCGAATTTCGATACCGAAAAAATTGTAGCATCCTTCATGCGCCCTGACGAACACTTGCGAACTCAAAAAAATTGATACCGAAAATATATTGAAAAAAACAACAGAGTTTTAATTTGTTTTCACATAAATTTGGTAGCGCTAACAATACGCTTTTAATACGGCTGAAACCGTATTAAAATTAGGAGTATTGATATTCTTAACATAAGGATTAGGAACAATTTTTCAAGATTANAATCAATTTACCCTCATAAATCAATTTACCCTTAAAAATAAATCTACCCTCAAAAATCAATTTACCCTCAAAAATCAATTTACCCTCATAAATCAATTTACCCTTAGAAATCAATTTACCCTCAAAAATCAATTTACTCTCAAATATCAATTTACCCTCAAAAATCAATTTACACTTAAAAATAAACTTACCCTCAAAAATCAATTTACCCTCAAAAATCAATTTACCCTTAAAAATAAATTTACCCTCAAAAATCAATTTACCTTCAAAATTCAATTTACCCTCAATATTGTACAATTTACCCCATAACCCATTTACCCTCACACGGCAAGTAACCCTCTGAGCCTCACAAGCCTGACGCCTCACCGTGGCTGAGGCGCTCCTTGGGCTGCACGGCCGTGAACGCCGAGGCTGAGGCCACCGGCGCCTCGTTCAGCATTGCGCCTCTGGGGGGCAGGATTATATTGTTTTTTATATTTTATAATGCAAATTATTACAATGGTCTGCTTTTGTTACAATTGTTTGCTTTTGTTACAATTGTTTGCTTTTGTTACAATTGTTTGCTTTTATTACAATTGTTTTTTATTACAATTGTTTGTTTTTATTATAATTGTTCGCATTTATTACAATTTTTTCTTTCATTACAATTGTTCGCTTTTGTTACAATTGTTTGCTTAGTATCAATTATCACACCACGTATCACCACAGCTTCACCACTGAACGTATCAATTAGCACACCACGTATCACCACAGCTTCACCACTGAACGTATCAATTAGCGCACCACGACGCCATCACCTAATTAAGTTAAGTTCTTATATCAGCATAAATGTCAGTGGCTCATTCTTTAATTAATGCCAAATTAACGGTCTAATTAATGGCAATTAATATAATGCGGCGGCGGTCGAAGTCTGCCGTGGCAACTTAATTGTATCACATTTTAATCAGGCGATTAATCGATGCCATTTGTGGATTAATGAGCTGCGATGGAACGGCTTGGCGCTTCGTTAATCTCTCATTAACGCCTGATTAGCGGACGCTGATTAGGATATTACGATATAGAGACTTGCGATATTGGCTGTTGGTGGATTTCAATAAAACTTAAATAAAAAATAATTCTTCTATAATTTCTATTTTAATTTTTTGTATCGTTTTACGCAGAATTTATTACAAGATTTTTTAAAATTGATTTCGAAAAATATCGTGGTTTTCGCCGCGATATTTTGTCTGATGTTTAAATCAAACTTTTTCGTAATTAAAATCCTGAGAAGTAAAAAAGTATATGCATAATGTTAATAAAATCAAATTAAATTTTTATATTTTGTATATATTTTTAAAATGTATATACATTTTATTTATATATTAATATATATTACATTGGAACCCGGTTTATGAACTGCTTAATAAAAAAAATAATATTTTCTTTTCAGGCGGTGGGAAACTCTAGTGAAAAATAAAGGCAACAAATTTTTTAATTTTCAGTTTTTCTTCTCAATGAAAAATTCGCTTTTGTTTGTCGAATTTATATAGAATGTTCCCGAATTTCGATACCGAAAAAATTGTAGCATCCTTCATGCGCCCTGACGAACACTTGCGAACTCAAAAAAATTGATACCGAAAATATATTGAAAAAAACAACAGAGTTTTAATTTGTTTTCACATAAATTTGGTAGCGCTAACAATACGCTTTTAATACGGCTGAAACCGTATTAAAATTAGGAGTATTGATATTCTTAACATAAGGATTAGGAACAATTTTTCAAGATTAGATATGAACGAATGCAGTTTAAATTTAATTATCATTTACATATCATATATCGAGCGTTTCCCGTAGTGACGTCATCACAATATATAGGCCTTCGCTATTAGGCCTTCTTAATTCATCCGCTGAGGTGAGCAAAATTTCCCGCTGTCAATTAACGTGGAAAAAATACCCAATAAATTTTTCTGAACGTCTAAAATGCTGTCGATTACCGTTAAGAAATCGAAAGGAGTATTGAGCGCATCATTGGCTCTTAATTGGCTCGGTAACTACAGCACAAATTCCTTCATAGTTACGACGTTGTGGTAATAATCATAAGTCCTTATTAAAAAGCCTTTTACTTACCACTCGTGAGTCGAGCGCTGTCATTGGTCAAGAGCGGTGACGTCACTTTGCACGGTGCGCTGCAATTGGTCAGTAGCGGTGACGTCATCGGTGACGTAATAGGCGAAGTCATAGGCCTCATGGCAGGGTTGCCAGGTAGGGATAAAGTTTCACTCCCCCCGCGAGGCGCGTTGTGATTGGCTGGAGCCGAAACCTGGCTGTGACTGCGGGGAATTTCATTGGCCGAGAGCCTGGTTGTGGGAAGCTGCCAATGGCGAGGGGGAAGAGGCCAAGGAAAGGCGCCGGCCAATGAGAAGCCGGCATTTAGTTGGCCTCCGGTTGTGGCTTGGTTGCCAGAGTAGGCCAATAATGATGAATTCAAATCTGCAAGATGATAGCGCGACATCATTAACGCTTCGGCCTCCTTGCCGGCGCAATAAACTTTTTTTAAGCAGGCGAGTTCTGAGAAATTTGAATTTGTTATTCTTAAAATTTGCACTTAAAAAATTAAAGGAAAGTTTTTCATACGTTAAAACTAAATGAAGAACGGTCAATAAATGAAAAATAAATAGAGAATTTCAAATTTTTTAAATTTCCGATTAGATTTCTCTCACAATAATTCGCTATGAAATAAGAATTACAATGAATTTCATACTTGAAATAAATCTGACATTATTCAACAAGAAATGATCATGAAAAAGTTTTAAAATTATTAGGTTATAGTACGGACACACAAATAAAAATTTACCCTCAGAATCAATATAATCTCAACTGACAATAAGCCCCCCCAAATAATTAACAAAAAATCAGGGAGCACATTGTACCCTCAGAGTGAAAAGTACCCTAACCAAAGGGCAATTTACCCTCTGAATCAATTTACCCTCGCCGGACCATGCAGTTAAATTCTGAAGGTAATTTATCCTCATATGCCAGTTATACCTGAGAAGGTATTTTACCTTCTTAAGACAAATTATCCTCAGAGGGCAATATGCCCTCAAATTCACAATTACCCTCCAGAGTGCATATATATTGTACCCTCAGATTACCATTTATACCCTCAAAAATCAATTTACCCTCAAAAATCAATTTACCCTCATAAATCAATTTACCCTCAAAAATCAATTTACCCTCAAAAATCAATTTACCCTCAAAAATCAATTTACCCTCAAAAATCAATTTACCCTCAAAAATCAATTTACCCTCAAAAATCAATTTACCCTCAAAAATCAATTTACCCTCAAAAATCAATTTACCCTCAAAAATCAATTTACCCTCAAAAATCAATTTACCCTCAAAAATCAATTTACCCTCAAAAATCAATTTACCCTCAAAAATCAATTTACCCTCAAAAATCAATTTACCCTCAAAAATCAATTTACCCTCAAAAATCAATTTACCCTCAAAAATCAATTTACCCTCAAAAATCAATTTACCCTCAAAAATCAATTTACCCTCAAAAATCAATTTACCCTCAAAAATCAATTTACCCTCAAAAATCAATTTACCCTCAAAAATCAATTTACCCTCAAAAATCAATTTACCCTCAAAAATCAATNGCTTTTATTACAATTGTTTGCTTTTATTACAATTGTTTGCTTTTATTACAATTGTTTGCTTTTATTACAATTGTTTGCTTTTATTACAATTGTTCGCTTTTATTACAATTGTTTGCTTTTATTACAATTGTTTGCTTTTATTACAATTGTTTGCTTTTATTACAACACTTCTCTTTAACTTCACTTCTTGTGGTTTGTTTGTCTTGCGTAAAGTCGGAGACAATGCAGGAATCAAATTAACTTAAGGAATAAATAATTTTTTATATTCCAAAAATAATCATAATAAAAATATAAAAGAATTTAAAACTTATTTTGGTAATGTTTGAAAAATAAAAATAAAAATTAATTCTACATGTGTAGCATCAGAGACTCTGGATTCTATAGAAGTGTTGTCTGTAAAAAGTAATTTTTAGACGCATATTATAACAACACTTCTCTTTAACTTCATTTATTATTGTTTGTTTATTTGTTTGTCTGCTACAAATCTTATAATCGATTTTTAACACAATTCTATGTCGCCAATTTATCTGAAATTTTGCCTAACGTCGTTTGCCCCTATCTGAATATCCACACTTGCCTAAAGTCGGAGACAATGTATGAATCAATTGACAGAATAAATAATGTTACAAATTTAAATTTTATTTTTTTAGTAAAAAAATAATAATATGTTTTACATATTTAAAAATAATATGAGAAATTTATTGTGCATGTGTAACATCAGAGACACTGAAGTTACACATGATAATACTTTTTAAACGCATATTTTTATATTATATACCTACTAATAGCAGGATTGTGCTATTATTTCACCTGGAGAATGTATTTTATTGAAAATTATCTCAATATTATTATATTATATTATATTATATTATATCATATTATATTATATTATTTTATAATAAATTACATTATAATTATTATAACTTATTTAATAATACATTCGGTTATTTTGTACTTTCTACGTGCAATAAATATATTTTAAAATCAAGGTAGTTTACTTAATAAATTATCTTGTCGATGAAAGAGAAGCGAGGCGGGCTCAACATTTTTTCTGTGATTTTTTCATCGAGAACATTTTAATTACATATTTGGGAAGTCTCAGATATAAAAATTTATTTAGGTATAAGTAATCCCTATATATACATGAAACTTTAGCTAGTAAAATTTTCATTATTCATACAATAAATTGATATGAATGTTGAAATAACGTACACTAACATTTATGAGGTTTACAGCTAAACTTGTAACATACGGGGATACAAGATATAATTAATGTAATATAATTAAGTTATATGCTCAAATGTATTATTATTATACGTTAAAGTCTTAAAGTCATGAAGTTGTAAATGAAATATTCATTTAAAGTTTCAATTGCCGAAGTTTACAATCCGGTGAAAGAGAAGTGCAAGTCATTGACTGGATTTAATTTATGAATACAATAATTCAAATTTCATTAATTAATCCAATTAATCAAAAAATTTCTCTATTAATAAAAATGAACGCTACAAATTCTACGAACGTTCCCAATAAATACAACCAAAGTATTTATTACAGCAGATTTTTCAAACCTCAAAAAATAATTATTTATTTACTCATTAATATAATTTAATGTGAGCGGAAAAATTTTCTGTTGAAAAACTCTGAAAAATATTTATTATTTTAAATATTTTTTACTCCAGGAGAATATAGTACTGAATAAAGCATAATTTGATGTTTGCTCTACCGATCTATATATGAACTAATTTATAATTTTAATTGGCAGGAGATAATAATTGTACGTGTATTTACAATGATTTGTGGGTAGAATACGAACAGTGGGTTGAAGTTATGAATTATGGGTCGCATATTCCGTTCGAGTTTTCATTTTTTCTTTCATTCACTGCTCTATTTTCACGTAAGGAGTACGCAACACGTAACAAATGAATTATTAAAAATATCCAAGAAATAACAAAAAATTCTTACTGAATTCCCACACAAGCTTATAACAGCTTTACGGCGACAATTGTTTAGGCTGTACGTGACGCGATAATGGTCGAATAGAGAAACGTAATCTTAACAAAAACATAATATATCATTATGCTAGCTACCGATAAAACATAAAATAATAGGTCACTAAAAATAAACTTAGCAAGACAAAAATCAAAATCACAATGATTACAACAATTTACTACTAAAAAATTCATATGCATGTTGCGCACTAAATACTATATTATATGGAGCACGGCAATACATATTGCACACTATAACATTTGCAGTGTTTGCGTATAACGTTCAAATGGGAGGAGACTTATTTGATTCGATAATGAGTTCTAGTCTTAAGTAGAGAGATATGTTTTACACGAGATAATTAATGAAGTTTACATGAACCAGTAAGATTGCTGAAAGACATAAGTATCTCATTGGCGCGGATAAACTTATTAGATAAAAATTAATATTGCTGGAAAAGTCATTAAACAAGAAACAATATTACTAATAACTTATTAGACATCAGTTTATTATTATATTATATTATTAATAATTTATTAGACAATTAATGGCTAATATTGTTGAATAACTCATTAGACAATAGATGATATTGTCAGGTAGCAAATCATTGTTCTGAATTACACCAGTATTTATCACAATAAATTCATAATAATACTTCTCACATATTATGAATTTTCGAATTCATGTAGACTTGAAGGAGCAGAGTATATATACAATTGAGTCAAAATTGGATAAATTTCTTTCGTTGCTCCATGAACAACCGTAAATCCCATAGAAAAACACTCCTCAATTTTAGATATATTCTCTATTCAAATTTTTAAAAATTCGTGAGATTGATATTGAATTTCGGTACTGCATAAACCATTTACGGAAATTAGGAAAATTTTTGGAAGAAATGATACATAAAAGAAAATATTATCTAAGTATTTGTTTCTTTTTAAACTAAATGAATCAATTTGGCAGTAATTTTATTAAGATTTGAATATTTTGAATATTAATTAATATTAATAAATTAATGAACTAAATTGAATAATAATAAATTAAATGATAAACGAATTTGCCGTGCCGTGATTTATATAAACACATAAAAATGTAAATGTGTATATTTATTTATTTTTTGTTTATTAATGGGATATATTGCCATTTATAGTCAAATGTCTTAATAATTTATTATATTATATAATATTTATATTTTATAATAAGGAACAACCCAGAGATCATTTATTATGTCAAAATATTGACAAAAAAATATTATGTATTCATATGAATAAAAATATATATCTAAATCTATGAAAAAATTCCTATTTATTATCTTATAAATATATATAAATAAGCTTGTTAATTAGCAAATAAACTCAGATCGGCTATATCAGCAATTGTCAGAAGCTCAGTTACTACTAGACGGAAATTAAGGTCTTAAATGCACACTGGAAATCGTGGAAATTGGTACAAAATTTGAGGTTTTCCGGCCAATATTGATTGAGAAAGTTGAGGCATTGCAGAACCTGAAAAAGTAATCGCCTGAAATAATTATAAGCTGCACGATTATCGTTATTTTTTTTGGAAGCGGTGATAATCTTAAGTCTTACGATTATGGTAATTCGTATTTACCCTCATAATTCAATTCAAATAACGTACAGGCGTTATTTTTTTAAGAGCGGTGATAATCTTAAGTCTTAAAATTATAGTAATTCTTATTATTAACCTGATAATTTCAATTCAAACGATTATATTAATACGGTTATCACGGGGTGGAGATTTTGCGCTGCGATTCTAATTCACATTCACGATCAGAGTAGCGATTTGCGAAACCGTATTTTCATTTTGTGACATTTTGTATTTCAACAGGTCTTGCGAGAATGTG